TGTGATATATTGATTTAAATCCGGGGTCAATGTATAATATTAAGGAAGTAAGAGCATAATGGGTGGAATTGATAAGAATTATATTATTGAGGGTATTTTAGACTAAAGACATAGGGATGGGCTTAATTGAGAGACTGTTTTTTTTGTGGACTAAAATGCATTTAAGTCCCATGTGATGGGCCTTTTTGCCATTTGCCCATTTAAAAATTATAGCCTTTTCGGGAACTGATTCTAAGTTGCTAAATTAATGAAATAAACAAGAGTTTAAATTCCAGACGGATGAGCCGATTTTAAAGAATAAGCGGATCCCACCCATCATATGACATGTGGAGGAAAAATGAATTAATTGTGTATAAATTTCACTTGATTAAAAGGGTTCTTTACAAATAAGCCCATCAATGGGTACTTATTCATAAAGAGATTTAGACAAAAAACTCTTTTACCAATAAGTCCACACATGGTCCAGATTTTTGTAAAGTCCTAAAATAACTCCTCATACTTTAATATGCTCCAATTTCATCCTTAACTTTATTTAACCTCAATTTGACCACAAATTTCACAAATTATTCAATTTTGACCCAAAACTTGTTTTTTCAAATTTTTTTTCCTGCCGGATTCCGGCGTTGACCGCCGGTCAACGTCGGTCTCCGGCGTTGACTTTTCATTTATTTATTTTTTTTTTCTCCCGGATTTTTTTTCCGGTTTCCGGCGTTGACTTTTTTGATTGTTTTTTTTTCTGTTTCTTTCTGTAACTTTTTTTTTGTTTAAACAACAATATTGCCGTGATTGACAGTAATTTTAACTATCTTACTGTTAAACACAGTAAAATTAACTAAACTACAGTTTAACACAGTAACATTGCTATATTAATCTCTAGCACAGTAATATTAACACAACAAAACTCAATATCATTGTGTAATAGAGTAATATTACTATGTTGACCGTTCAACAAATGTAAACATAATAAAAAACCAAAAGAATTAATATTATTGTGAGTGACAATAATATTACTATAACAACAGTAATATTACCGTCAACCACAGTAATATTACAATAATAGACAGTAATATAATTACGTTACTCCGTGAATAACTCAAACAAACAAAAAATCCAAACAAAATAATAATATTGATGTGGTTGACAGCAATATACTATACCAACAGTAATATTACCGTCAACCACAGTAATATTATTGTCTTTACAGTAATATTACAATAATAGACAGTAATATTATTACGTTACTCCGTGAATAACTCAAACAAAATAAAAAACTCAAAAAAGTAATAATATTGATGTTGTTGAAAGTAATATTATTGTGTTTACAGTTATTTTACTGTCAACGACAGTAATATAATTACGTTGACTTGTCAACAAATCAAACAATATAAAAAAAAAGAAAAAAAAAGAATAATATTACATTAATTTACAGTCAATGACAGCCAATTACATAAATGTATTGTCAATGGCAGTACAATTATGTTAATTAACTATCATTGACAGTATAATTACGTTAATTTACTGTTAGTGACAGCACAATTACGGTCAACGTTTAGCGGCGGACGTAAAAAAATAAAAACAAACCAAACAAAAAAAAAACTTAAAAAACACTAAAAAAAAGTCAACGCCGGAGACCCTCGGAAATCGGCGAAAAAATCCGGAAGAAATGAAATGAAAAAAGAAAAAGAAAAAAAAAAAAAATTCAACGCCGGAAACCGGCGAAATAAATCTGAAAGAAAAAAGAACAAATTTGTTTTTTTGAAAAGTCAACGCCGGAATCTGACGGCAAAAAAATATTTTTTGAAAAAAAAAATTGAAGAAAAACAAATTTGGGTCAAAATTGAATAATTTGTGAAATTTGGGGTCAAATTGAGATTAAATTAAGTTAAGGATGAAATTAGAGCATATTAAAGTAGGGGGCAACTATTTCAAATACTAACTTTTGCTTACTTGAATACCAAAAAAATAAAAAAATAAATAATTAATTGTAAATTACTTTAATGCCCTTAATGAAAATTAAAACCAAAAAAATATTACAAATACTATTTTTCTTTCTTAAATACCAAATAATCAAAAACCTAAAAAAAGTATTTCCCCTCCT